ACAATTGGATAAAAATTGACTTTGTGACACAAATCTGTTGATTTTTACCAGTTGTTTCATTTTTTTTATCATTCGATCTGTTTTAGGAAATGAATTTTTTTTTTTTTTTCAGATACAGAGTATTATCAAAGATTAGTTTTGGGACATATGGTATGATATATAACGCCAATGATAAATGTACTGGCAAAAATGTTGCAGTTAAATTTGTAACTGGTAAAAAAATTTCATTTTTTTTCCACAGATTTGTCCAATGTTTTTTGTCGAGGGAAATCCTTGTCAAGGTCTTCTGTCGTTTCGAGGTGCCCGTAATTTGGGGGACTGAACATCATAGTTCTCCACTGAATGTCTGCCACTTTTTAGCCTCGGCAAGGTTTAGTTTGCCGGTTATTTTCTGCATTCATATGAAGTTAAAAATTTGTCAAGAATCATTGTTTTTTTTATTAAAATTGCTTTTTAATTTAAAATTTTTGCATTTTTTTTAAAGGAGGGCAACGAGCAACAAATTCACAGTTACAGCGCGAATATAATGTATATAGTGCTTTAAAGGTAAGGCAATTTGCCCCGTTTGTTTGCCTATTTTATATCGTTTACTAGAAATATCATGATACTTTAGATCGTGGGGAAAAAAAATTATTAAACGGGAAATTTCTTTATATTTTTACGAAATTCCTCTCAGCTGTCATGGTATTTCGTCGTGGTCCTTAGCCTTTGTCAAGGGCATTTTTGAAATGGCTGAAATCTTTGGAGGAGAATGGCTGGGTTGAAATGGCTGAATTCCATTTTGGTCTTCTGTGTTTACAGGTTCAGGGATGAAACACAGACGTCACCCAATGCAAATACCGGCTAGCTTAAATGAGACTGTAAAATTTGGCTTCTTCGCAGAATATCAAATAAACATAGTCGACTATCCTATTCCTTTTTCCTCTTGTCGCTGTACCTTGCCAGCAGCATTGCTACACTTTCCGATACCTGATAATACTTTCAGGATTTATAACACGAACGTTAGGATCGCCATCAGCTACTTGATGACCACCAAGTGAGATGCAGCTTTGGTCAAAGAAATTGGCAAAGTTGCTCTTAGTTGAAGACTATCACTGTATTAGAGCTGATCCAAGCATCTCCTCAGCAGGTACTGTGGAATTCATCATCCAAGAGGGGTGAAATCAACATTGGTTTAGGCAACCTGCTGATGGTGGTGATCTTTCCCCTAAGAAAACTGATGGTTTAATGAATTCGTAAAAGCGCATAGGCAGATCGAGGACGGACTTCTGGAGCGGAGGGGGAGGGGGGCGAGCCCCTTCCCACTTTGGAACTATGCAGAAACTAGGAATAGAGTTGTAACACACAGCTACTTCGAGTTACTTTAGGCTTTGGTTTACTTTAGTTTTAACTTTAGACCCGGGCTTTTGCAGCACCGGTGGC